AAGGGTGATCCTACTCCACCCAGAGAAGCACACTTTGTGAGAACCAATGGAAAAGAAGCTGAGCTGCTGGAACCCATTCCCTATGAATTCATGGCATAATAAATGGGAAAAAATAAACAAGAATTCTATGCTGCTGCTAATGATGATGATGATGATGATGAAGACGACGACAACGATGACAACTAAAAATCTAAATCAGTGTCTAACTAGAGAGAAAAGAACACTTTACCTCAGAGCCTCTGACTTTACTGTATGCTGTTCCCTCTTACCCTGGGCTAAATCTTAACTTCTGTGCCACTTCCTTATTATAATATTTTATTATTTTCTTTACATTACAATTTAAGTTGCATATAATCTACTTTTATTTAAATTCTTCTTTCCTACTAGCTCTATTAAAGACTGTGTCTAAATACACATTTTATCCTAGACCTGTTGAATAAATGAACACCAATTAAGTCCTCATAGTTCACAGCACCAAGTCAACCTATGTGTAAAACTAGGAGAAAAAAATAAAAAATGTAAGTACGTTACTTTCAAATATCTGAAACACGTACTAAGATAACAATAATAGAAATAAAGATTATAAGAAAGGGAGAATACAAAAATATTGTCCTTTTCATATGAATCCCATAAAAGTATTTGGTTTTTAGTCCAGGTACATGTATAACTTTATTTTTTTAAATTAAAGATTTTAAGAAAAGAGTCTATACATTACCAAAAGCAGCAATAACATTGTTAGACATAGATGTAAATAGTCTGTTTATCCAGAACATCAGCATAACAAATAATCATTTCTTATATTACACTAGAGGCCGGTGCCCAAAATTCATGCATGGGGGGGTCCCCTCGGCCCAGCCTACACCCTCTCCAATCCAGGACCCATCGCTGGCTCCTAATTGCTCACCTGCCTGCATACCTGATGGCCCCTAACTGCCCCTCCCTGCTGACCTGGTCGCCACCAATTGCACTGCACCCCACTGGCCTGGTCGCCCCACACAGCCTGCTTGCTCAGTCATTTGGTCATCCTCAGGCTGGCCCTGGGCGTCTAGGCAGCTGACATCTGAGGTTTGCCAGCACCTTGGGCCAGCCCTGGAACACTGGGCAGCTACCATCTGAGGCTTGCCTGCGCCTTGGGCCAGCCTTGGGTGGCTGGGGGGCTGAGGGAACTGGGGGACTCTGGAGGCAGGCAGTTGGAGCAGATGGACCCAACTGGGGGCCGGTCAGGCCATGCCATGCCATGCACATGCCGCCCTGGCAGGGCTAAGGGTACTGGGAGCAGCCATCTTGTGGTTGTGGGCGCCGCCATCTTTGAGTGTATTGCAGTCAATTAGCATATTCCCTCCTTGGCTGTGGGCATGATGGTCAATTACCATATTCCCTCTTTATTAGATATGATCAGATATGATGAAAGAAGGGGCCTGACAGCTTGCAAAAGGTAGGAGAACTGGCATTTTCCTGCAGCCATCTCATCTACTAAGTGTGGGATTGGAAAATAAAAGAAATACTTTTGCATAGTTCTGCTTCTGAGCTAACTCTACTATATTTCTGAACATTGTCTAAGCTTCATTCATATTTGTGCACTTCTTATATAAATAATCTTTAAAAATTTTTAACCACCAGGGCCAGTGTGGGTCAGTGGCTGAGCACCAACCTCTGAACCAGGAGGTTGAGATTCAATTACAGTAAGGACACATACCCAGATTGTGGGCTTGATTCCCAGTGTGGGGCAAACAGGAGGCAGCCGAACAATGACTCACTCTCTTCATTGATGTTTCTATCACTCTCTCCCTCTCTGTTCATCTCTAAAATCAGTTTTTAAAAAATATTTAACCAAGATATGTTTAGTTTCTTAATCTAAGACTCACAAGTGGAATAGTTATATAAAATTTACAGAACTGAAGCAAAACTGTGCTTAGTTTGGATCAGCATTGACGTTCTGCTTACTAACACTTACTCAAAAGCTGGAGGAATCATGCTATCTGATATCAAATATACTACAAGACTATAGTCATCAAAAAGAATGGTACTGGCATGAAAACAGACATATAGATCAACAAAACAGAATAAAAGAGCCATGAAATAAACTCTTGCCTTTATGGTCTATTAATATTTGATGAAGAAGGCAAGAACATAAAATGTAGTAAAAATAGTCTATTCAATAAATGGCGTTTGGAAAATTGGGGGGCTGGATGAAAAAAGTGAAGGGATTAAAAAAAGGGGAAAAAAAAAAACCTTCTTAGATGCAGACAACAGTATGGTAATTACCAGAGGGAAAAGAGGGCTGGGGAGGGGTGGAGAAGAGGGTAAAGAGGGGATAAATGGTGATGGAAGACTTGACTGGGGCTGGTAAACACACAATACAATATATAGATAACATATTATAAAATTGTACACCTGAAAACTATATAATTTTATTAACCAATGTCACCCCAATAAATTCAATAAAAATTTTAAAAAGGCAAATGCGATTTATGGTCTGCAAAGATCCCTAAGAGCCAGGATTATTTCTAGCTTGACCAACATTAGCTCCCCACTGTCTAGCATATGGGAACACTTAAATAATTACTGAATAACTGACTAGTGATAAACAAGTTTCAGAAGGGTTTAGTTAGAGTAATGCATAACAGTCACAGTAGTCTATAAATGATAAATATTTGAAGCTATATCATAACCTTTTACAATGAAAACTAAAACTGCCAAACTACCTGCATAGTATATCTTCTGCAATCACTTGTTGGAAGTAATGAAGTATAGCTCTTAGACCATGGATTCTGAATTTGAAGTCAGACAGAATTTAGTTTGAATTCCAACTCTGCCTCTTGTAAGATATGTGACCTTGCCAATTGTAAAACAGGATAACTTCTAACTCACAGTATACAGTATATGAAATAGTGTATATATAAAGTTCTTTGAACACAGTAAGAGCTCCATCTATGCATCAGAAGAAGCTTATTATCCAGACTGCCTCCTAATTTTCGAAACAGTTCTCACAGGGCTATCCTAGTACTACTGCAATAGTAAACAACTGGTAAAAAAAAAAAAAAAAAAAAAAAAAAAAAAAAAAGGAAAACTAGACAATAAAAATTTGAACCTGGGCATAAAAACTACTTTAAAGAAGTAATATAAATTACTCAGAAGACCTGAAGTTACTCAGAGCTAAACACGAGTTACCTTTGTGAGTATTAAAAGTGATGTCTCTAATTATAACCAAAACAAGTGGGTAGCCTGAGTACCGCCAAAGGAATGCGCTCAATCCAGTCAACTATCCTAACCACACAAGGTTCAACCTTCTTGTTAAAGCTTGTGCTTCCTCTTTGCCTTTTAAGTTTGTCAACAAACCATGGAATAGATGAAAAGGTAGTCTCTATTAACAAGAGTTGTATTAACAATATCTTTTCCTCTGATCACGACATAGAAATAGTTCCCTGCGTTGAAAGAAAAAAAACCAATGCCAGATTTTAAGGCCTCTGTCCATGCCTTTGGCATGGTACTTAAATTACAGACCATGTTGCAAGACTTTGAAAATGTCAACTATACATCCCAAAAAGCTAAATAAAAAGGACACTCATTCCACGCCATCCCAGCAGGAATCTTCTACCTCTGCGAAATAAAGCCAGTCTTCAAAAACAAGAAATACAAAACCCCAAGTCCTAAATACCTAACAATGTGATACATAATTATATGATCAGATGGAAGACCAAAGTTCGTCACAAGTGATTTATCAAAGAACAAAGACGTTTTACTTAAAATGTTTAAAAAAATAATGAAGTCCAATATGCTGGTTACTTCATTCTTATACTACTGACACCAAAATCCTGCGCTCAAGAATATCCTGATTCCTATAAAATTTGCAGCAATATATGTTTGTTTATAAATATTTTAAGTAGTAATCACATTATCCAAAAAAACACCGCATCCAAAAAAGGCAGGGGGAATTCTAGCTGAAACACTCACACAACACACACACACACACACACACACAGCTTCTAATGAGTTTGGTGAATATATTTCTTTAAGGAACAAATTAAAATTCTATTGGCCCCAAGCCTCCAACTGCAAAAGGACCACACAATAGAAGTCTCCTGTCTGCCCCCATCCACTGAAGAGATGTGGTATTTAGATCATGCTATAAACCAGAATGTAAATAAGTATAAGCTGCAGTATGCAATAATGACTATACCTTACTGATCTGGTGATCCTACCAAGCCTTTCCTCTTTTAGGACATTTTATTTTTGGTCATTCCAAAGTGGAATATGTAGGATTTTAAAGGAAAACTAGGACCCTATTAGGCAATTTAAAACATTTTGATAAATTGGAATTTACTATATACAGATACATACATATAAAATAAGCTTTGTTCAAGGTCATATATTAATTATTGTTTCTAATTTTAAAAAGAGACATTTATGTTTTTCAGTAATAGGGTACAAGTTACATAAATTAAGGAAACCCAGGTAGCTTATATGCTGCTCTTATCTGTTAGGAAAGAGTGGAGTGGGAAAAATATATTTACATATTTTTTGCATAAGATATAGCTATAAGGATACATAAGAAACTAGAAAATCTGGCTGCCTCAAAGTAGGGGAAATGGGGAACTAAGAGTGGGAGTGGAGACTAAGTGAATGTTTAAACTAATTCTAAAACACTGATTTTTCTTAAATGATTGCTAATTTTTAAAACAAGTCCTTTGAAAGTCTGTTTAATCATTTATAAAATGAGAGGAAAAAATAATACCTACCTAATAGAGTTACCATTACAAAAATTGAGATCTTGCATACAAAGTGATTCCCACAATTCCTAGTCCACTTTTCAAAATCACTTATAGCATCTCTGGCCCTTATTCCTTGTACCCTGTATTGTGTTGCACACCTAACTGTATCTTAAGCAACTACTGTGAAATAAATGAATGAGACCTTTCTGAAAGTATCACCAGACTTCCCATCAGTTAGCATTCTGCAAAAGTCTTGTATTTTAGGAAATCAACCATCTTCATACTTACAGGGATGCTCCAGACCTGTATTCCATCACTGTAGCCAATCATAATCAGCAAAGGCGGCTCATTCCCAGTACTGTGTATTTCATGAAATTCCAGATTTCTTGATGTATCTACATTAGAATTAAATAACAGGAATTAAAAAGACACAGTGTCAGTCAAGAAAGCTACATACTTCTTTAATGCCTCAGTTTTTGGCCTGGGCAAGTCTATTTTGAAGAACTGGTGTTGGAAGAACTGGTGTTAGAAGATCTGGGGGTGTCGGTCGCATACGGCTAGAGAGCCTCAGTTTGCCGACCACTGGCTTAAGTCATCCTACTCAGATAGCAGAAATCCAATTAGTGCTATTTGCCAACCACATCCATGATGGACAGATGAAGTTAAAGAGAATAAATCTCATTTTGGTACCTCCGCAGAAAGTTGATGAATATTCTATTGACATCCTCCCTAAGACTTCCCCTAAATACCCAGCCTTTAAGGAAGGTCAGGCCGAAGCCGGTTTGGCTCAGTGGTAGAGTGTCGTTCTGTGGACTGAAGCGTCCTAGGTTCGATTCCGGGCAAGGGCATGTACCTTGGTTGTGGGCAAATCCCCGGATTATAGGCTCCACCCCAATAGGGAACATGCTGGAGGCAGCCAAAGGTTCTTTCCCGTCATTGATGTTTCTATCTCTTTCCCTCTCCCTTCCTCTCTGAAATCAATAAAATATATATTTTTTTGTAAAAAAGGAAGGTCAGAAGTCCAGTGCATGCTCTCCCTCCCAGCAGCATGCTTGTGCCTCCCCCACCTCTACCCGTGAACCTTCCCCCCACTTCTTTCCCCATAGGCAGGCGTCTCCTAAATTCTAACGAACTCCATGAGGCTTGCAACCAGGGCATCAATAGACAGCAGCTAATCCCAGACAACCCCCCTAACCTTGTCCCAAAGGGCCCCCTTTTCTCTGGCTTCTTAGTGAGCCAAATCAGACCAGCCTAAGCTGATTTCCCCAGCCCATTCTTATTACCCTGCCTCCAGTTTTAATAAAAGTCCTCTAAAATTCACCTGGACTCGTGTTGCGAAGTTTTTCCGGCACAAAATCAAGAACCCACACACTACCAACTGTAGACCAGTTGAGGGCCTAAGCAGACCAGTTCAGGGCCTGGTCCCCTTTCCAGTAACATTAGCACAAAAGATTGACAAATTCGACTGCATTATTTTTCACATAAAAATGAAGAACTTCTGCTAATCAGGAGCCACTCTTACCACAAGAGTAAAAAGGCCAGCCACAGCCTGCGAGAAGTCTTGCAACAAGCATAACCCCACAAGGATTCAGCCAGTACATGTAACAATTAAAAATCGATATGAAAGATAAGTCATTAGAAAAATAGGCAAGACATGAAACAGCATTTCAAAAAGAGGATATTCAAAAGATCAATAAGACACGAAAAGTGGCTGGACCTCATTTGCTGTAATCAAGGAAATGCTAATTAAAACCACAATGACAAAACCAAGTGTTGGGAGGATGTGGAGCAAATGGATTGCTTATTCACTGCTGGTGAATTTAATTAGTACAAACCACTTTGGAAAACAGTTTGACAACTTACTCAAGTCGAAGATACCACGCCCTTTGACAGAAGTTCCACTCTAGGTATACATGCTCCTTAGAAGCATGAGCGCACACGCATACACTAAGAGACATGCATAAAAGCATCTATATCAAGACTATTTGAAAAGAGCAAAAAGCTACAATCAATGCAAAGGGCCATCAACAGAATGGACAGTGTTATATTGATACAATGGAATACATTTGAGCACAAAAAAAGAATGAATTACTACCATACATGAATGAACCTCACAGACATAATGAGCAAAATAAGCCAGACACAAAAGACCTTATATTGAATAATTCTATCTATATAAAATTCAAAATCACCAGGAAATTAGTTATATTCTTTTTGTTACCTTTCATGATGGTTACAGGGGTGTTGGATTTGCAAAATTTTCGCTGATCTACTCTTTAATTTTGTGTTCTTTACCATGATGTTTGCACAATATAAAGATTTATAAAAATAATAAATTAAAGCAACAATATCCTTCTCCCTGTATTTGATTTTATCTCTCTTCTTCTAGAAGCTAAATTCCTTGATTGAGTTGTTTATAACTGTCCTCTATTTTTAATTTCTCATTCACCCAAAAATACAATGCAGAATGGTTTCTGCCCCTAACACTCCTCCAATTTGACTTTTGCTACAGTCTCCAATCACCTCCAAGTTGTTTTTAAAGAGAAAACTATAGCCAAAACCGGTTTGGCTCAGTGGATAGAGCGTTGGCCTGCGGACTGAAAGGACATGTACCTGGTTGCAGACACATCCCAGTAGGAGGTGTGCAAGAGGCAGCATATCGATGTTTCTCTCTCATCGATGTTTCTAGCTCTCTATCCCTCTCCCTTCCTCTCTGAAAAAAAATCAATAAAATATATTTTTTTAAAGTTATTCTAAATTAAATCTAAGAAAAGACCATATGATAAAAATCAGAAAAGACTGCAGCAATTATTTATTTTTTTATTTTTTTAAGTAATTATTTATTTATTTATTTTTAATATATTTTATTGATTTTGTACAGAGAGGAAGGGAGAGAGAGAGAGAGAGTTAGAAACATCGATGAGAGAGAGTCATCGATTAGCTGCCTCTTGCACACCCCCTACTGGGGATATGCCCGCAACCAAGGTACATGCCCTTGACCGGAATCGAACCCGGGTCCTTCAGTCCCCAAGCCGACGCTCTATCCATTGAGCCAAACCGGTCTCGGCTAAGTAATTATTTTTTAATCTCATACTTCAATTATAGAAATAAAATGGCACCCTATTATAAAAGACTAGAGGTCCAATGAGGATCAAGCCTGCAACTGAGGTACATACCCTTGAATGTAATCAAACACAGTATCCTTCAGTCCGAAGGCTGATGAGACAAACTAGCTAGGGCTCAGGACTCTTAATATTATAAAAATTAAATTAAAGCAACAATATCCTTCTCCCTGTATTTGATTTTATCTCTCTTCGATACACAATCTAATCATCTTTCTACTAGAGCTACCACCTTGATCACAGGTTGTTAGGTTGTGAGGGCTCCAAGGCCACATATAAAAACCCTGTGATCATTATATGAACAAAATCTCCTTTCTCTTAATTTAGATTTGGTTAATCACTTGTGCTATTTTACTTTTCTGGATTGAGATAAGCACATGTGTCCTTCTTCTAAAGGGTGACCACCCTCAAGATAACACATAATCTTATTAACTATCCTATGAACCACTCCTGGGTTTTTTGTTCCCACCTTCAGGTAATCTTTCTTAATTTCAAATGCATTAAAGAAGCTGCAAAACTCTTTCTCTGGAGCATCTGAGATCTTGCTCCCCTGCGTATGTTGTCAGTTAGGCTCAAATAAACTATTATACAAATTCTTTACAGGTTTGGATCATTCCTACATTGACACTAACTACAAAATAGGTTTCAAAAAACATCTCCTATGAAAACAGTATGGTGGTATCTCAAAAAATTAAAAATAGAATTACCACATAAACCAATAATCCCATTTATGAGTATATACTCAAAAATAATTGAATGCAGGCATTCAAAGCAATATCTATACACCCATATTCACAGCAGCATTATTCACAAAGTCTAAAGGTGGACACAACCCAAATGGAACATGAAAGAACAGAGAAAAAAATGTGGTGCACACACACAAAGGAATATTACACAGCCTTAAAAAGAAAGAACCTACACATGCTACAACGTAAATGAATCTGAATACTACATGAAATGAGCCAGTCATATAAAGACAAAAACTATATGACACCACTTATGAGGCTTTTGAGTAGTCAAATTCAGAGTCATAAATAGAACTGTAGTTGCCAGAGGCTAGTGGGAAGGAATGTGAAATTGTTGTTCAATGGGTATAAAATTTCAGTTTTACAAGATGAGTTCTAGAGATCAGTTGCATAGCAAAGTGAATGTGCAGTAGGTCCTCCATTCATAAATTTCATTCAATACCATTTCATTGTAATGTTGATGAGATGCTATAAGCAACTAACTCTTGTTTATATCAATTAGCCTATATTAAAACTGGTTTCCTTATACTTCGTTTCACCATACTTCCAAAAACCTATCAACAATGTTAACTGAGGACTTACTGTACATAAGACTACTAAACCATACACTTAAAAATGGTTAAAATAATACACTTTATATGCATTTTACCATAATTAATCTTTTAATTCCCCTTAAATAAATCACTTGTAACTGAAGAAGGGGCTGTTGAACATAAAAACTGGTACCTAAGTATAGTACTAGACTTCCTATTAGAATGCCAAGTCAAGAAAGGCCATGGAGTGCTTCTCCCTCACAGATTAGAGACTTGGCAGTTCTGGTTATACTGTAGCGAACCAGCTGGATAACCTAGTGTGCTTTGGGTCTCAAACCATATGCACATCTTCAGGGAGTTTGATAGAAAAATATCAGAATGTGAAACTGCTTTGGCTACTTCTTTTTCAGTAGGATATCTTAGGGAAAACGAGCTTAGGCATGAATCAGACTGTCTGAAAGAGAAACAACAGAGATCATTATACAAAAGGCCCTTGTCCTACTCTCTAATGAACTCCAAAATTAGTCATCTCTACCTAACAGCAGCCAAAATTAAAGCATGGATTAGGAATGGATACCTAGGAGAATGCAGGATTGGTTCCCCAAGCCCCAACCATGATAAATCATATCAATGGGGAAGCAGGCTGGAGGGAAGGGGCTACCTGGCAGCACTTAATAATTTTAAGCTATTTTTTAATATATTTTAATATTTTATTGATTTTTTTACAGAGAGGAAGGGAAAGGAATAGAGAGTTAGAAACATCGATGAAAGAGAAACATTGATCAGTGCCTCTTGCATACTCCCTACTGGGGATGTGCCTGCAACCAAGGTACATGTCCTTGACCAGGATCGAACCTGGGACCTTTAAGGCTGCATGCCAACGCTCTATCCACTAAGCCAAACCAGTCAAGGCTGGTTATGCTATTTTAAATTAAACACAAATTGAGTCCGAGTGGAGCGAGCGAGCAAGCTGAGTGGTTGTACACATGTCTCGAAGACCGGTAGCGCTTGCCGCATGAGTGACCAAATGACTTGAGAGCAAATTGCAGAATTCAAAGAAGCTTTTTCACTATTTGATAAGGATGGTGATGGAACTATAACAACAAAGGAATTGGGAACTGTAATGAGGTCTCTTGGGGAGAATCCCACAGAAGCAGAGTTACAGGACATGATAAATGAAGTGGATACTGATGGCAATGGCACAATTGACTTCCCAGAATTTGACAATGATGGCAAGAAAAATGAAAGACACAGACAGTGAAGAAGAAATTCGAGAAGCATTCTATGTGTTTGCTAAGGATGGCAATTTATTTTGAAAACTAGAAAGTTACTAAAAGAGGAAGAGGAGGTCAACCTGAAGCAAACATTAAATGTATAAGCCCCAAAAAGTTAAAACCATACCATTTAAATCTGCATTTTCAAATCTGACCCAGACTATTTTCTCCTTTTCTTCTGTTAGAGGTGTTCCACTGTAAGCCTGCATAGTAAAACAGAAATGTTTGAATAAAAATATTTTACAGCGCTAATATTACTGATGTTCAAAACAAAGAGTAACTGAAAGCCAACACTATCCCTCTACAATTTCACCAATCCCACATCTTGGAAACAGCACATTTTGTACTGTTTGTAATCCCAAAGAAAGTTATCCAGGAGTCTGAAAACCTTGGTCAGAAGAGAGTTTTTAAGCTACTAAAATACTGCAAAAGCCCTGACTAGGTGGCTCGGTTGGTTGAAGCATTGTTCCATTACACCAAATGGTTGTGGGTTCATTTCCCAGTCAGGACATGTATGGGAAGCAACCAATCAATGTTTCTCTTTCACATTGTTGTTTTTCTCTCTCTCTCCCTCCTCTCTCTCTCTCTAAAAAAAAAAAATCAATAAAAAATATGTACCTAGATGAGAATTTAAACAAGTTTTGAAAAGAATTGCAGAAACCTAAAATATAATAAACATATTAGAAAGCATTACTATAATTTTAAGGTGCTCAAAAAACTAAATAATTTCCTATATTAGCCAACAAATAAGAAGTCTTAAAAAAATAAAACTACCTCAAGTTATCTATTTACTTCCCATGTATTTATGATCAGGCAATTTACACTCTACCCAAAATTTTTAAGCATATTAGTTTCTTACAGCATAGGAAATATAGTCAATAATATTGTAACAACTATGTATATACTAAAATTATCAGGGACATCACTTCTTACATTATATAATTGTTTAACTACTAGTCTATTCACCTGGAACTAATATAAAATAATACTGAACATAATCTGTAATTGAAAAATAAAATTTTTAAATGTACTCCATATTATAAATAGATTATAGGATAGTACATATTACCTCATTTTCCTAGATCATAAAACAATTAAAAACTTCATTTGCTTTTCTCTTGTAGGCTTAAAAATACAGCACAAAAACACAAAAGTAAATTCACTTGTTTGTAGTCATACACACAAAAAGGAGCATTATTTATTACTTTCTTCATGTCTCTAGTTGGAGGGCAGTGTTGGGGGTAGAAAAAAAGTATTACTTTTTCAGTCTCTGATCTGGCCTCTACACTTAACCTATTAGCTAGTTTATTAGCTAGTTTCTACAAGCCTGCAAGGGTCACAAAGATCAACATAGGAAAATTGTCAAGGGTTCTTCTCATCAGTAGTCAAAGGGAGTCATCTCTCCATAAGGCAAGTATTTTTATTGTGTGAATTTACAAATATTTAGAATGTCAATAAAAGAGCTGCAATATCTTCAATTATAAAATGGTTCAATTCAGGTAATTATTATTTAATATGGTATATCAAAATCTTACAAAAACTATAACATAATTTGTGTTACTATATATGAACTGCTTTAAATTTCCATACCAATTTAAAGACCCCATACTTACCATACAAAGGTAAAGGACACTGAAAACACAATTAAACATTACTTTAATTGTAAGTTTACTATACCCAAAAAAAAATTCTTTATTTCAATTGTTTGTTTTTTTAAAAATGAACTATGAGTAGGGCAGTAAATTTTTTTTTGGAGAAGCGGAAAAACCCACACTATAATCTACTTTATCTTGAACCATCTCATCCTTATCACATTATCTTCTCAACCTTACCTTCTCTTCCTCCTATGTCTAGCCCTTACTATAACCTACTTTATCTTCAAACATCTCATCCTTATCACCAGTTACCTTCTCACCCTTATCTTCTCTTCCTCCTTGGTCTTGCCCTTATCATCCTTGAAAACTTATTTTTTTAAATAATTTTTTACCTGGGAATAATTTTAGATTGCTAAACAGTACAGGAAGTTTTCATATAGAGCTTAGCCAGATGAACTACCTAAATTAATTAAATTTTACCTTACCATGGTACATTCGTCAAAACTCTGAAGCTAATTGATGCATTACTACTAATTAAGCCTCAGATCTCATGGGATTTCCCCAGTTTTTCCAATAATGTCCTTTCTCTGCTCCAGGATCCAATCTAAGACACATCACAATTAGGACTTCCAACTCAGGCTCTTCTTCAGTCCCATACAGGAGTAACATTTTATCAACATTTCCTTCAGTTTAGCAGAATTACTATCAAGCTGCTTATCACCTGTAGCATTACTCAACATTCTACTTTGCAACATCTAAAGATGTTGTCCTTTGACCTCTGGGTGACATGCAGAACAAAACAAAAAAGGATGAAAGAAGCCTTTCAGTATATGGGGATTCCAGAACTTGTTTTCCTCCTCAGGGAGAAATAAGATTTTCATAGAAACGCTTGTATAATTTTGTTAGTCTCAGGCTTTCCTCTCTCCTTCCCAGACATGGCATCCTTTATATATATTTGATTTTTTTACAGAGAGGAAGGGAGATGGATAGAGAGTTGGAAACATCGATAAGAGAGAAACATAGGTCAGCTGCCTCCTGTGCACTCCCTTCTGGGGATGTGCCTGCAACCAAGGTACATGCTCTCAACTGGAATCGAACCCGGACCTTTCAGTCCCCAGGCCGATGCTCTATCCACTGAGCCAAACCAGTTAGGGCAAGTCATGATATTCTTTACTAAGCATTCCTGAGAAAATTCTGTGAAGCTAATGAAAGCATCTGAGTATTGCTTCTTGAGTGCCTTCCAGCAGGTTTGCACAAAGAAGGTAAATGAAATTAGTCGCTTTGCCTCTCAATTACGATAATATTTGCCCATGCTTAGGTTATTTCATTCCCAGTGATGCACACCAAGTGCCCATCCAGCTTTCACTTGCTGTCTTAATGGTGGTTAGCGTACTATTATACTAAACTATTAGCCCTTCTTTTTTGTTGTTAATCCTCACCTGAGGATATTTTTTCATTTTTAGAGAAAATGGAAAGGAGTGGGAGAGACAGAGAGAAACATTGATGTGAGAAAGACACATTGATTGGTTGTCTCCCATACATGACCCAACCCTGGCCTGGGGGATTGAGCCTGCAATGGAGGTGCATGCCTTTGGCCAGAATCAAACCCATGACCCTTCAGTCCACAGGCCAATTCTCTCTCCACTGAGCCAAACTAGCTAGAGCTTAGCCCTCCTTTTTCCACCAAAATCCAACTGCCATAAACCTCAAATTTAGAGTCCACAACTGACAAGATTTGTTTATTTCTCCTTTTACTCCTTATCTGGTTTCTATCATAGCTACACATTCATAAGCACAAAGTTATTATTGAATTTTGAAAGATACAGCTAAGATTACTGTAGACATGTTTTTTTCACTGTAGAGAAAATAACTTCCATTATGTGCTGTCAAAAGTATAATGTTTATAACAGCAAATCATTCTATAGAAATAACATATATAATTTCATATAATTTACTTGACTGCTATTAACACTTGGGCTGATCACAATTTTTTTACCCTGAAAATGTGAAATTTTCAAAAAGACTTACATGAGAAGATTTGAGCTTTAATTCTTTTTTCTTTGTTAAAATTATTTTTAGCCCTAACCAGTTTGGCTCAGTGGATAGAGCATTGGCCTTTAGACTGAAGGGTCCTGGGTTCGATTCCAATCAAGGGCATGTACCTTAGATGCAGACTCGATCCTCAGTAGGGGTTGTGCAGGTGACAGCTTGATCAATGTTTCTCTCACTCATTTTTTTAACTCTCTATCCCTCTCCCTTCCTCTCTGTAAAAATCAATAAAATATTTTTAATCATTTTTAATAACTTTTCAGAAGTACAATTATTAGATCAAAGGGCACAACTAACGGTTTCTATACGTCATCAATGATATCTCTTGAACAATGAAAATTCACACTATTTGTGATAGCTAAAGCAGCTAATAACACTCTAACAGATTTTCTCCTTTTGGGGGATAGAGACTCCAAAAATAATTTCTAGGCTTCAGGAATTTGATGATTCCCAGAACAGAACAGAAGTTGGAACCTAATATCATCATCAAAAAATATCATTTTCCAAGTGGCTAACCACAAAGTATCAATGGGGGCTTCTGGATTAAATGTGGAATAAAGACTATGACGTACACATGAGACCCATATAGAATAATACTGAATGTAAATTACAATTGAAAAATAAAATTTACATTTAATAAAATTGAGACTATGAGTCACCAAATCTAGCCTACCACCTGTTTTCATAAAGTTTTATTTTAATACAGCCCTGCCCTTTGCTTTACATAAAAAGCAATGATGCCCGGCCAATGTTGCTCAGTGGTTGAGCATCAATCAATGAACCAGAGAGTCATAGTTCAATTCCCAGTCAGAGCACATGCTGGGGGTTGCAGGCTCAATACCCAGTGTGGGGTGTGCAGGAGGCAATCAATCAATGATTCTCTCTCATCACTTGATGTTGCACACTCTCTCTCTCTCTTTCTCCCTCGCCCTTCCTCTCTGAAATCAATAAAAAAAATTTTTTAAAAAAGGCAGTGCTAGTAATTGCTACAGATATTATATGACTTGCAAAAGTTTATCCAGCCCTTTACAGAAACAGTTCACCAACTGCTGCACTAGACCATGAAGTTTTAAGGATGGTCATAAAGTACTTCAACTTAACAGAATTCTGGATCCATAATGGCTGCTCAAGAAAATGTCTGCTGCCTAAATTTTTGCTTTCTTTCCAAAGTAGAATGACTTGCATAACATAAATTTCTTGAATGAATATTCTAATTCTTAGATTAATGACTATGACTTTACATCCACAGTTACTACTCTGATCCAAATCTGCAGCCAAGTGCATAGATTAACCCCTTTCTAATGTACAATGTTCATAAAAACTAAATTAATAGTCTATCTTCCAGCACTTGTACCCTGTCAGTTTTAGCGGCCAATTTTCAATCTGTTACTCACTCTAGTATTCTGGTTTCTCTAGAAAAACCTCCCTCAAAGCCCCTGACCACAGCCTTTCTTCTCTAGCCAACCAACTCTGCTTGCTATGCAGGGTTTCCATTAGCACAGAAGTTGCCTTTGAAAGAATCTGATAAAAGAGGCACTCCGGGGCAAACAAACTACAAAAATTTTGAAATGCCCCTTCCTTGGAACATGCCAGAGCTCAGGGCTTACAAAGAAAGGAGCAGTTTGTAGAAGACCTAAGCCTGGTGTTCTCAGAAGAATACAGGAAGCTCTCCAGCCACAGGAACTCTGTTGCCTACCATGCCCAACTAACTAGTTTCTTTCAACATCAAATACCCAACCTCTCCATTCATTTCAATTAATGCTGCTCCCAATGACCTTTGGAACTTAAGCCTTTCACTCTTTCTTGGCTATGTATGCATTCCCTTTGTAATTGAATGTTCAGTCTGTACTACATGTGTAACACTATTTGATATGTTGTTACTACCTCTGGTTGTTTCAAGAAATTTGACTTCCCTTATACAAGTTCTTCAAGAAAAAGAAGGAAAAAAACATGTATTTCTCCTTACATGCCCCACAGAGCTGCAGACCTTGTCATTATGTGGCCTATTTTCATTAAAGGTGACTAAACATAATAAATACCAACATTCTGTGATACTTTCCCATATTTGATGAATACTCTAATACAACTGAAATCTAAAGTCTGGAGTTTTCCTGGACCCTCTTGTAAAACCGATCTCCGAATGTCCTTTCTGAACAGGGCAATTACAGATACTGTATCTGTCAGGGAATACTGGCACCACAAGGAGAAGGCAGAAACCTTCCCCTTCATTAGTTCCACTAAACATTGCTTCCCAAAACTAATGTTTCACAAGGATCACCTGAGATTCTTACTATAAACACGAATTACTAGATGCCACCTCAATGCCAGTCAGGCCCTCTGGGAGAGGGGCCTGGGAATTACTCTTTTCAATAAGCGTGCCAAGTGATACTTATGTTAAGTCTGGGCATCATTGCCCTAGGGATGATTCCAGGAGGGCAGCTCTCCTTCATCGCACATGGACATAGAGGGAAAGGTAAGGAGCTTACTTTCTCACAGGCTAAAGTAACAGGGCATACTTTGCGTAGCATAAAAATACTACTTAATATGAAAGAGACATAGATTTTTGCTCAGTATAGAGGATTTAATTAACATAATACCTAGTTAATGAAATGTAAAGCATGTATTGCTTATCTCACTTCAATCAGGCATCATTTAACCAGGACAAGGGGAAGACTGTGGAAACAGAAGCCAACTACAGAGTCCCAAGTCCCTTCCCTCAACTATCATCTCACCTTGATTCCTCTTGGGAGAGCAAGTTCTGAGGAATAATAATGGTGCCATAGTCATCACAAAACTCAGGTATATCTAATAACAAGTGTGGTTCCTCCATACCAATATTCAGGATACTAAAACATCAAGTCTTTTTGAAGTTGGTGATACTAATATCAAGTTTAGGAAACAGTACATTTAAGAGGCTTCCTGGACAAAGGTAAAACCTACTGTTTCAGAAACCTCAAGACACTTACCTGTGGCACAACATCCTGAAGAAAAGTCACAACACTTTCCATGTAGGACTGCTCCCTGCAAAGAGAATTAGATGAAATTTATCAGGACAGCTTAAGACAAACATGGAAAAGTTCTTCCTAAGCCCTTAGAACAATGGTTCTCAACCTTTTTAATGCCTCGACCCTTTAATACAGTTCCTCATGTGGTGGGGACCCCCAACCATAATATTATTTTCATTGCTACTTCATAACTGTAATTTTGCTACTGTTATGAACCGTGTTTTCCAATGATCTTAGGGGACCCTGCTAGTGGTTCTCAACCTGTGGGTCGCACCTTAGAAAGTCACTCAATTTTTTTTTTTTAAAGACTAACTCACATTACCTGATAGTTCTGCTAAGCTTTCTTTCATTGAATGTTATTAAATGCAAATGAGATCTTAACAATTCTAAACATCTCTTCTGAAAAGTCATGCTATCTTAACTTGATATAGAGAACTTCTAACTCATACTCGAAGGAGTGATGACAGAAGACTTGGCTAAAGCAGAACCTTCCTCTTGAGTCAGAGCAGACTGCCCTAATTACCAGTAGACAAAGAAAACCTGTTGCTGATGACTCAGTATATAGTGACCTTCCCTTTAAATTGGCTATGAACCTAGTCCTTATATGCATAGAGAAAAATGAATCTGTATTTTTTCTACAGGTAACTTTTGCCATATACAAGACATGGGAAAGTATAAAAACGCTCAAGGACACTAAAATATTTTAAATGGAAAATCAGGAAGTAGAGAAAAAAATTCTTCAAAATACCAAATCAAATTCATCCCAGAGAGATGTGAAAAATTACATTTAGGGAAATAATGAGATCCTAAATCCTATTTTAAAATATACCTTACATTCCTACAGAACTAATTAAGCCCCAAAACCCCAAAACATTGTGGTTAGGCCTATCTCTCCAAACTCATTTTTCTGCCATTCTCTTAATTTGATTTTTACTTCAGTCATATGCAACTTCAATTCCTAGATTACACCAAACTCTTCTTTTAATCAAGACCTTTATACTAACTTTCTACCTAAAGTCCTTCCCTTACTCAGCCTCCCCTTTCAGATCTCCGCCTAAACTGTTCCCTCCTCAAAGATGCCTTCTCTGATAGCCTTAAGCCATACTCCTTGTCATTCTAGCATAATGCACTGCTTTAATCAGAGCCTGTAATGACAACTTATTCACTATTTCCCCCACCAGAATGTAAACTCCATTACAGAAAGGAATCCATCTCTCATATTTACATTATACCTTTAGAATCTGTAAACCAGTACTTAGGCATGGAGTTGATGCTCAAGCATTGTTAAAAGACTAGTGAATGGAGGTATTTTTTTAAAACCACAAAAATTATGAATTGCATTATAAAAAGCAATAAATGTTGAATATGGTGAGGCAGCAAAGACAAACTGCCTGGATTTGATCCAGGTTCCCCTTCTTGGCTGTTAACAAAGAACAATTTACTTAATTTCTCTCTGCTCTGGTCTTTTCAACTATAAAATGAAGATTGAAATAGTATCTAACTTATAGCTAATAACATGCTTATTGCCACTTTCCATAGTTAACAAAGACATATAGCCTTGGAAAATGCAGGAGAAGAAAAAAATGAAGTTTTGTGGTAAAATATCATATTCCCCATATACTTTTGTTATTCTGAGAAGGCACTCTTTATGTAACATGCTAAACTTGCCAAGGGAAGTAATCCAAAATGTTACAATTCCCTTATGAACATTTTAGAAAGCAGAACTAGGAGGCCACAGTTCAATTCCCGGTCATATGCACTGGTGGCGGCATGCAGAAGGCAGCCAATTGATGATTCTCATCATTGATGTTTCTATCTCTCTCTCCCTGAAATCAATAAAAATAACCTTTTTTTAAAAAAGCCTAAAAGTTTCAACTCCTTACCCAGGTATTGAAAGGTCTTAATTGTCCACCTCAAACTATTTCATATAAGTCAACTTTTTTCTGCTTTTCATGAAAATAGCTTACCTTACCCACATCTCAATCAATTCCCTTTGCCTAAAACGTACCCTTGATTCTAACTGTCCAAACACTATTCAGCCTTTGAAGTTCAGTTAAATGTTAGCTTCCTTAACAAACTTTTCAAATCTAAAATAGTAAAATACACAAAAATACTCGAAATTCACATGCTACTTTGCTAGCATCTTTCTTATTGATTATAGTGACTGCAAACATACATATCTTTTCCTTTTTTAAATATGTTCTCAATGATTTCAGAGAGAGGAAGGGAGAGGGAAAGAGATAGAAACATCAATGATGAGAGAAAATCATGGATCAGCTACCTCCTATATGCCCACTCCTATATACTGGGACTGAGCCAGAAACCCCGTCATGCCTCCTGTTGGGAAATCGAACCAGAATTACCAGCCAGCTCAAGCATACATATCTTAAAACTACGTTAGATTATATGTTCCTAGAATGTATACATAACAGCCCACTGTCTTTGTTAACTATGGACAGTGACAATAAGCATGTTATTAGCTGTAAGTTAGATACTATTTCAGTCTTCATTTTACAGTTGAAAAGACCAGAGGCTGGGTGGCTCAGTTGGCTGGAGCATCATACTGTACACCAAAAAGGTTTAGGGTTCTTTAATGAACAAGAATAGATCCAGCCGAAACCGGTTTGGCTCAGTGGTAGAGCGTCGGTCTGCGGACTGAAGGGTCCCAGGTTCGATTCCAGTCAAGGGCATGTACCTTGGTTGCGGGCACATCCCCAGTAGGGGGTGTGCAAGAGGCAGCTGGTCGATGTTTCTCTCTCATTGACGTTTCTAGCTCTCTAGTTCTCTCCCTTCCTCTCTGTAAAAAATGAATAAAATGTATTTAAAAAAAAAAAAAAAAAAAGAATAGATCCAAAGACAAAGACAAATGGTAGGAAGCAGAGGGTTAGAGAACAACCAAAGGACTTGTATCCATGCATATCAGCATAAACAATGGACTCAGACACTGGGGTGATGAGGGCTTGCCTGGAATGGGAATGCTGAGTGGGTAGTGTCAATTGGGGCAAAAGGACACAGATGTAAAACTTTAGACAATAAAAAAGTAAAATAAATTTTTAAAAAAGGTTTGGGGTTCAATTCCCAGCCAAGGCACATACATATGTTGAGGTTTCCATTCTCAGTCAGGGTGAATATGGGAGGCAACTGATTAATGGTTCTTTCTCTCTTTATCTATATCTCTCTTCCTCTCTCTTTCCCTTCCTCTTTTACTCTTTCTTAAAAAAAAAAAAATCAATAAACTTAAGGGTTTTTTTTTAAGTAAGTATCCGTATGCTTTGTCAAAGAAGGCTTAAAATACTGAAACGCAGCCCTAGCTAGTTTGAATTAGTGGATAAATCTTAGGCTCCTGGACTGAAGGGTGACAAGGGAATGTACCTGTTTCAGGCTAGAACCCTGGCCCTGGTTGGGGCAATGTGTTAGAGGCAACTAACAACGTGGTGTCTCACATTGATGTTTCTTCCTCGTCTCTTCCCCACCCTTCTACTCTCTCTAAAAATCAATGGGAAAATATACTCAGGTGAGGATTAACAACAAAAATAAAAAAATAACAGAAACCAGTTTGCCTCAGTGGATAGAGCGTCGGCTTGGGGACTGAAAGGTCCCAGGTTCTATTCTGGTCAAGGGCATGTACCTTGGTTGCGGACACATCCCCAGTGGGGGGTGTGCAGGAGGCAGCTGATCAATGCTTCTCTCATTGATATTTCTAACTTTCTATCCCAGTCTCTTCCTCTCTGTAAAAAAATCAATTAAAATATTTTTAATATATATATAGACATGTACTCTTTATGACACTGACTTTGAAACTTTCTGAGATCTTAGTGTAAAGAAATACATTTTGCATCACAATCTAGTAAACAGATATATCTCTGTGTGTACCATAAAACAAAACTCTCAACTCTATTTTCTATAAATTCTATATCTTTTTTGAATATTACTCCTGATCCAATAAATTGTTTAATAACCCACTAATTGTTAAACCTAGAGAATGAAAAAGCATTCTTCTTTAAGATTCAGCATAGTGCTTTTCATATACTGTGTAAATAAATGTGCTGAAAACATCAACTCGACCCTCCAATTATTCCTTTTATTTGGCCTTGGCAATGATATTTAGCATCCTACAAAGCCAAAATTAAATAAATTCTACAAAGCAATTATTGTTCAAAAAGGAAACCTGAGTGTTAAGTCACTATTCTGAATAATCTTTCTTCAGCTGTCAGACTTATTCGGAAATTTGCTTACGTGGCTGCCTGAGGGCGAACCACAACTCCACCAGTACAACGACTGGGTCTTCTCGGGGAATCTGTAGCCATAGCTTCATTCACAAAACCTGTTTCCAGAACAAAAAAAAACAAAACAAAAAAAATCATTATTGTTGGGAGTAGGGAGAAAGGTTTATGATTAATTACCGAGATTTTTTTTTTTTAACCAAACTTCAGAACCACAAAACTAGCTAAGACTCTTGCTGGACCCTTTGATCTACTGTTAAGATAAACTAGAAAAGTAAAAGAACCAGAGCATGGATGGGAAGTCTAGCGCAGGATCACTTCATAAAAACCAATGTAAGCCAAAATTCTTAAATGTACTGCCAATTTCTGTTGAGATAGTTAAAATACACATGGTACAATATTTCAAGACCAAATGGAACAGTAAGATAACACCATCCATCTAAGACTGTTGTAATCTGTAAGAAAGCATATTGTAACAGTGGTAATGGATCTTAACTAGACTTAATGTGGCGATTGTTTTCAATATATACAAATACCAAATCATTATGCTATACACTTAAAACTAATATAATATTATATAACAATTATATCTTTAAAAAAAAGTCTGCATGGCCCCACCAGTGGTTGAGCTCCAAACCAGAAGGTCACAGTTCCATTTCTGATCAGGGCACATGTCCAGGTTTCCAGGCCCAGCAGGGGGCGTGCAGGAGGCAACGGGTAGAAGGTTCTCTTTCATCATTAATGTTTCTATCTCTCTCCCTCTCATCCTCTCTAAAATCAATAAAAATATATTTTTTAAATAAAGATTTTAAAAAGGACTGCATGGTCATAATTAGCAGGATATTTAAAAACAGTTGTATTTAACCCTCTGCTATTGGAACCTAATTGCCAGTCTAAATAAGTTAAAAAAAAAAAAAAAAAAAAAAAAAAAAAAAAAACTTAAGAGCCGAAACCGATTTAGCTCAGTGGATAGAGCGTCGGCCTGCGGACTGAAAGGTCCCGGGTTCAATTTCCGTCAAGGGCATGTTGCCTTGGTTGTGGGCACATCCCCAGTGGGGTGTGCAAGAGGCAGCTGATCGATGATTCTCTCTCATTGATGTTTCTAACTCTCTATCCCTCTCTCTTCCTCTCTGTAAAAAAAAAAAAAAAAAAAAAAATCAATAAAATATTTTTTTTAAACTTAAGACATTAGAAGCCCCTTATCCTTTCCTCTCACATCACTGATTCCTCATCCCTAATAAGCATGTGAAATCATAGGGGAGGTTTTAAGAGCATGGAGTGTATTTGGTTAAGGTTTAAAGGAGTACTGACAGCAATATTAAATATCTCTTACAGGGCTCAGGAGAGCCCCACAGCCTGGAACTAATTTTGAAAAGCCCCTAAAACCCTCACTTCTAAGTAGGGAGCATTCTACCACCTTATTTGACAACTTTGAAACTGATGAGTCCCACATGCTACCACCAAAACAGCCTTCACCCGAACCAGCCCAGGTACCCCTTCCCCCATGGGTACCCGGTGTCGCCCCCCAGCCCCTCAGCCCTCTCATTTCCACACCACCCTTTCTTTCCAGACACAGCCTCCCAACAACTGTCCCGTGAGGGCCCTGTCTCCCAACGACGACCACGGCCAGTTCCTCAGGCCCCTCGCCCCTGGAAGACACCCGGACAAGGCTGCCCACTTACCCTCCGACGCGGTGCCACCGCTGCCCCCCGGCCGCCCTCTGGCCCCTTGCCCTACCTCGCTCCCCTCCCCCTCCAATCTCCACGGCTTCCCCTCGCCGAACCCCTGCCAGTCAAGCCCCCTCGGCTCGCGCGGCTGGCCCCTCGTCCTCCCCGAGCCTCCCCAAAGACACAGCCCCGCCGAGCCTCTCACCGGCCGCCCGCCGGTAAACGCTGTTCTCCAGCTCAAGCCTCACTGTTTGGAGTCCCCTCGTGATTGACGGCCACCACTTCCTACCACGCCTCAGCGGAACTACCTTTCTGGCCAATCCCAGGAGCGAACTGTCTGCGGCCGGGCACCGCCCTTAGAGGTCAGCTTCGCCAACCAGCGAGTAGGAAAGGGGCGGACCCGCCTCCTGAAACTAGCCAATCCGCTGGGGCTCCAGGAAAAACAAAACAGTATGTAAATTCGGGGAAAACCAAGGCGTCAAGTTCGGTTGCGAACGCCGGGCGGAGGCATGGCGGACATTGTGTGTTTTCCGTCGCAGACTGCTCCTTCGTGGGTCTGTCCAAAAGCATCACGTCCCAGACTCCTGGGCACCTCACCTGAGCGCCTCAGGCTGGGGATCCGAGGACCCGGACACGGGTCTGTTTACATAGAACTCTCGCGACAGCTGGTTAGAAGCCCCGAGCACGTGGACGTGGCAGCTGCCAATCACTTTTGGTTGGCCACTCATCCATTCTGAGCCCGCCTTCCGCCCCGCCCTCGTCGATGTGTTTACCTTCCGGGAAGCTAGGATGGTGGAGGGTGGTGGGCAGCTCTGGAGCTTAGGCGGTGTGGGTCTGGAGGAGGGACGCCGCAAGTAATCAACTCAATTTAATCTAGGTTTATGAGCCACGCCTAACTCCTCCCGTAAGGAAGATATCAAAATCTCGCTGGTGTTGTTTCGTTAGTTGCATTTCTATGTAATAATGAATAATAAGTATAGCATTTATTGATTTATGGAACAAACGCTCAGTAAACACAAAGGCTCAAAGAAGGAAGTGAATTTTGAGTAAGAACGAGGAAAATAACTATGGTTTAAGGCAAAGTGAACTAATATAGAACACTAGTTAGGAGAGGTAAGCGATGGCCAGCCGGTTTTGTACAGGACTTATAAGGAGTTTCAATTTTATTTCAGACTGAGAATAATTTGGAGGACTGTCATGATCGTATTTACATTTCTAAAAGATCATTTTACCTACTAAACAGAAAAGAAACTTTTGTCAGGGAAGGGACGTTGGAAGCAGTGGATCAAGTATGGAGGCTATTTCAGTAGACCAGGTGGGAGAAGGGGTCTGGAAGTGAAGCAGTAGAGGTGAAAAGTTGTGAATTTCAGAATATTTTGGAAAAGAGAATTGAGAGATCTTGATAATGCATTGGATGTGGAATAGAAGGAAAAGAGAGAAAGAAGATGCCTGTATTTTGAGCTTGAGCAACTGAGTGATGACATTTACAGATAGGATGAACAGTGATAAAGTTCCACTTTTTTTTTTTACATTTCAGACATATTGTATTTCTTCAAATTTATTGTTTATCAGGAGTGACTGAAATGAAAATATAATAGAGTCCATCATCATCATGGAAATGGCTTTAAGAGAAAATTGGTCAGAGGAATTTTACTGCTTCCTATTGTTAACTAGTAAATAGTTGCATTTGAATTTCTTTGACTTGGTTTCATACTTTGTAAACTGTAGAAGGAATATTTATGTGTCTCATAGGATTTTTATAGGAATAAATAAATTTAAAATTCTTAAAACCCCTTAGAAACTTCTCCAAGTTAACTAATTACTAATTAACCAATGAATTAGTTCTAAGTCCTCCATTTTTTTTCTCTGCAGAGATAATGTGATTCTCTCATGAACCTTCAAGTAAAAAATAAAATTTATGGTAATCATTTTTTGAATATGAATGCTTAGTACATATTGCCAGCTCATGAATCATTTCAAAGTTATGGGATCTGAGGAAACTTTTCAACAATCTGTTCTGACTGAGCAATCCCAGCTAGCAAATACATTTTCAGCATAAAAGAGTGAGTTCAAGTTAGAGTTCTGTGTTATCCTAGTTACTACAATGTCCACTATAATAAATCACTAATGACTAAAGTTGCCTTTCCTACAGTCCCCAGGGAATTATCAAGGAACTATCCACACATATGCCAACAAAATATTAAGGTCACTTTTCATTTTGTGTATTTGTTTAGATAGGATTGGGTTCCTTTTTATTTTTTAATATATTTTTATTGCTTTCAGAGAGGAAAGGAGAGGTAGAAACATCAGTGATGAGAGGGAACCAAGGATTGACTGCCTCCTGCATGTTGAACTGAGCCTGCAACCCAGACATGTGCCCTTGACCAGAATCGAACCTGGGACCCTTTAATCCGAAGGCTGATGCTCTAACCACTTAGCTAAACCACCTAGGGCTGGGATTCCTTTTTTAACATCAAGCAAACCATTGCCTCACTATGGCCTCCAAAAACACTTAGATAATAATCATATGATTTAAGCAGTGGTGAAATAATCTGATTTTATCAGTCAAATAAAAGGAAAAACAGCCTTGATTGGTTTGGCTCCAATCAGTGGATAGAGCGTCAGCCTGTGGACTTAAGGGTCCCAGGTTTAATTCCAGTCAAGGGCATGTACCTTAGTTGTGGCCACCTCCCCAGTAGGGTGTGTGCAGGAGGCAACTGATCCATGTTTCTCTCTCATTGATTTTTTTTTAATATATTTTATTTTTTACACAGAGAGGAATTGAGAGGGATAGAGAGTTAGAAACGTCCATGAGAGAGAAACATCGACCAGCTGCCTTCTGCACCCCCACACTGGGGAATCGAACCCAGGACCCTTCAGTCTGCAGGCCGACGCTCTATCCACTGAGCCAAACCGGTTTCAGCTCTCATTGATTTTTTAACTCTCTATCCCTCTCCCTTCCTCTCTGTAAAAAATAAAATAGAATAAGGAAAAACAGATTTTTGGGGGAGTTGATTAATCCTCACCCAAGGATATTTTTCCATTGATTTTTTTTTTAAAATATATTTTATTGGTTTTTACAGAGAGGAAGGGAGAGAGACAGAGAGCTAGAAACGTCGATGAGAGAGAAACATCGACCAGCTGCCTCTTGCATACCCCCTACTGGGGATGTGCCCGCAACCAACGTACATGCCCCTCACCGGAATCGAACCCGGGACCTTTCAGTCCGCAGACCGATGCTCTACCACTGAGCCAAACGGGTTTCGGCTTTCCATTGATTTTTTAGAGAAAGGGAAAGACAGAAACATCAGTGTAAGGTAGACATATTGATTGGTTGCCTCCTGCACGCTCCCTGATCAGGGACTGGGTGAAGGAAGAGACTGCAACCAAGGTATGTTCCCTTAACCAGAATCGAACCTGGGACCCTTTGGTCTACAGGCAAACGTTCTAACCACTTAGCCAAACCAGCTAGGG